TGTGTGGGTCTTTCTGTTATTGTTTTCAATGATGGTCATCAAGCTTTGCTAAAGCTGTTGAAGAACTTATGTGGTACTTATGATGGCTTTTTTTAATCGCTTCATCTTATACGTGTTTTTCTCTAGATGGTTCAAGTGGCTATTATTCAAGTTTGATTTTCAAAAGACTGGATAAAGATCGTGCAGAACGAGAAGAGAAGAAAGCGAAAAGAAGAGACACATCTAAACCAGAAATAAAACTTCGGGACGAAATGGCAGAGCAAGTTATTGATGATGCATACATTTCCGGTGCTTTTTGACATGTTTCTTTTTCTTTTTCTTGTATTTATCTTTTCGAGTTTTAGAACAAATCTTATTTGACTTTGTAGGTTAGCTCTGTTTGTACTTCAGAAGCAATGAAACATGCATCTTCATTCACTTCCTTTTGATGATTTAGAGTAAATTTCAGATTTAAACCATAATAGATAATTTTCTAATAGCTTACAATTATTTGAAAAATGCATTTGAGCGGAAAAAGGCTCCATTTCCAGCGGAACTTGCTGCCATTTTGGAGCCCGTTTCAACAACTCCAACAACAACGCAATCATCAAACAACAACAACAGTACTGTATGTTGTTCGAATATCAAGTCCACGTTTTCATGCTATTTTACAGATTTCTTTTTTTTGTTGTTCTTTATGAAAACATAGCTAACGCTTTTTGACTAAGTGATATTTTTTATTTCAGAACATCGATGATGATGAACGAGATAATATAGAGGAATACAGCCTTGAAGAAAGTGACAACAGCGATTACAGCGAGGAATATGACGATCCACCTTCCACGGCCAACGTTCCAACACCACCAACAAAAGCATCTCAAGAAAACATTTTAGACAACAATGATGATGTTCAGTCTCGTCATGAACTTTATAAAGAATTGTATCAGTTAGTATTGGCAAAACGTAAACATAAACGACTAACGAACAAAAACAATGAAACGTACGAATGGCCACCAATAGTGAAGCAAATTATTCGATGCCGATATCCGAGCGATATTCGTGATTATGTTTGCTACAAGCAACCAACAGTATCATTTACATTGGACAGCTTTATCGATCTTTTTGCTATGTAATGATTAGTTTTTTTTATTTTTTGTTCTCATTAGATCGTAAAATATCATTTTTCGTTTTTTTTGTGTCAAAATGAAATTGTTATGATCTGGCTGTCATCATTTAGGCAGCCATGCGAAAGTATCGTTATAGCACTGGAGTATCACTACTGGTCTGTATGGGTACTGGTCAGTACTGGTACTGGTCAGTATTGGTACTGGTCAGCTCAAGTATTGTGCAGTACTGATATTGATCAGTAACAACCTATATCGCTACTCTGGCAGTGCATTGCTAGTGTTGCATCCCTACCACTGGTGATAAAAACTAAACAATGGCTAGCGCTTAGATACACAAAGTTTTCATTGCATAAATCGACTTTCAAAATCTTCGTATAGCCACTCAAACCGCTTCAAAACATGTTATTTGATAGTAGGGTCGTTTTCTAATGCTTAAACAAAAATTTGAACGATATCAGTTCACGGTAACTAAGGAAGAAGTCACTAAAATTAGACTATTTCCTCTATGGCTTCAAATAAACGCCCCAAAACTGGCCTAAACACGTATCATTCATATATAATTTATATATATTCTGAAAGAGGACACTCAGGGCTACAAGATTATGTGTTTTTTGAAAAATCGAATTTTCTAAGAAAAATCGACTTTCGGAGTGGGGGTTCCCCCTTAAGTTGATTTTAACTATGACTTTATATTTGAAGTAATCTCATTTTAAAAGAAGCTTTATTTTGATGTGAATAATTTTCATTGAATTGTATTTAGGTATCCTTGGTGAACGACATCCGAAAGAATCGTGCTCCACTCTTTTATTGGTCTCTCGATGCTGGTTTCATTACAACAGTATCTGTTATTACATTTGGTTATTTTTATTAGTAAGTATAAATGATTAAAAATTGATTTATTGAATAAATTTGTTTTTTTTTCTTTCAAGTTCATATTGAATCAGACAAAGAACGAAAGAAAGTATTAAAAAAGGAGAAGTAGAACGTATCATCAGTACTGAAGGTTTAACTAGTCAAGGTTTGTTGAAACATTTTACTTCTTTTTGGCATTTGTTGTTTTGTTTTGTTTTTGTTTAATTAGAATTAGAAAAAGCAATTGATTTACTTCAAAAACAACGAATTCATGAACAAATTCAAATTGATAATTTCGAACGATATAAAAAATTACGTAATAAACGTCGTGAACAAGAAGGTCTTAGTTAAAAAAGAAAAAAAAATAAGATATGTTTACATATTCAACAACAACAACAACAATATCAAATGAACATGTTAATCATATTGTAACATCAATTTTAAATAAAAAACAACGAAATCTTCTTGAACAACAACAAACATTTATTCGAAGAAATACAGATGAAAACAATAAACGAAATAATTATCTTGTAGATAAATTTACATAAAAAAAAACGAACAATGTTTGCAATTTTTTTAAAGTTTGCTTTTTGTTTTTTGTAATCAAACTTATTTTATTTAGTTCATCAAAAGAAAATGTCATGAATCCAATAACAAAAGTTATTTCTCCAAAAAAGAAAGTTTCTATTGAAATTAATGATGATGAAGATGATGATTTTATAACGATAAGAAAACGTCCTAAAGTTATTTATCAACCAAAAATAAATTCTATTGTAAGAAAAAATGATCCGATAAAAGAATGTCTTGAATCAATTATAATACAAATCGAAAATAATGATATAACATGTCCTATTTGTAATCAAGTTTTATCTAACTTAAGTACTATTGATCAACGTCAACAACATGTTAATCGATGTCTTGAAGAACCTCAAATTATTAATGTATGTCATAAAGACTTTACCATATAATATCCAGATTCTTATGATAAGACTTGATTTTTATTTACTAAAAATTTTTACTTACAAAGGAACTGCTTGAATTGATTCATTGCTTTTGAGCTCCCATTTCTACCATGAGTTTGGAATTTTAAGACTAAAATATCTGTGCAAGAACTCTGATCAATGGTATACTGATCTTGAGTCAGAAGATATAGCTAGACCTTATTCAAATATGCTGAAAGTATCAGCAAAAGCGAATATGTCTTTGTCCAGATATTGGATTTGTTATTATCTCAAAAAAGATAGATTTGTTTTTGCTGAAACTTTCAGAATATTCTGATATCATCTAGTTCTATTTTCTGACAAAATCTTAGCTCAAAATTTATCAATTATCTTTTTGCAAAAGTAACTTCCTGTGTCAACAATCGATCAAGTGTTAAATAGGTATTTGATATTTCGAGGTTTCAAACTCTTTTGTAGAAACAGGAGATCAACACCTATGAATCAATTTGAACAGCTTCATCGTTTGAAGACGAATGAGAGAATGTTTTCGATCTGAGACTATATGTATCATGTAGACCCTAAGGAATTCTCAATACTCAAAAAGAGTTGCGTGCTCTTAGTTTAATTCTGACGAAAAAATTTCATTTTTCAGCACAATGACATGGTCTTCCTCTGGATCACTGGAAAAATTGACTTTCGAATTTTCGCCTTGACTCGATCGTCAAAATACATTTGTAAAGTTTTTCTCATAAGAAATGTATGAAATGGTTTTCTACTGTCTCATATTCCCTATCT